TACCTGGCACTTGGCATTCTCCACCTCAGCAGTCAGCCTCTGGATCATGCGGTTCAGCTCGTTGATCTCCTCCTTGGTGCGGCGCAGGGTCTCCCCGTGCCGGATCACTGTGGCCTTTATCTCCTCGCACTGCAGGAGGGGAAGGGAGGCAGTGGGATGCGCATCAGCTCACCAGGAATGACGGGGCAGTTTGGACAGTGCTCAGCCTGCACAACCACTCCGGGGCCACTCAGGAGAGCTGTCCACCCTGTCCTCTGCTTCCCTAGGGAGGACTCTCTGGCATCGTTAGGGTCCCTAGACAAAGGAAGGCCTTCTGATCCATCCTCCCAAGGCCATGCCTAGGCGGCAGGTGTCCTCGCCGCTCACCTTGCTGCGGTACCAGGACTCGGCCTCGGCCCGGCTGCGGCTGGCGATGTCGTCATACTGAGCCTTGATCTCGGCGATGACACAGTCCATGTTCAGGTCCCGGCTGTTGTCCATCTTGACCACCACGGAGGTGTCTGAGATGTGGGCGTGGAGGACCCGGATCTCCTGCAGGGGTGGAGAAGTGGTGAGATCAGAGCACCCTTTCTGGGCTGAACCTCTCCAGTCCTTCCCTGGCCCTTCCCCTGATACCCCACCTCAGTCTTGCCTCTGAGCCCTGGGATCTCAGAAGGCTCTCAGGCCTACAGTGTTGAGAGGAGGAGCTAGAGGGCATCCAGGTGTGAGTCACAGTCTGGTTCTACTCAAGGCTGCCTGCCGTAATCCCCTGGGTCTAGTGCCAACATTCACCTCCTTGTGATCATTGTCACCATGGTAGCCATGACCACCAGCTTGCTTGGGGTCTAACAGTCTAGACATCAGGATTCACTTATCTGTCACCTCTCCACAGCAAATCTCCTCCCCACTGTTTGCCTTTTGGTAAAGATATCTAACACCCCTCTGGCTGCTCACCTCCTCATACAGTTGGCGCAGGAAGTCGATCTCCTGGGTCAGGGCTTCCGCGTTGGCCTCCAGGTCAGACTTTCGG